CGTGCTCCAGCAGCAGCGTGTGCGTCACTGCGCTCGGGGTCGAAAGGGCCGCCGGGGGATGATGGGTGGGGGAAACAGAGTTGTTGGGCGAGCGGCTAAATGGAAAACAGTTGTTTCTTGTGGGCCGGCGCGGCGCGGCCTGCCAGTGAAAAGGCCTGGCAAGGCACGGCCGGTGTGATCGGCCGGCCCGCGTTTATATTGGGCCTTCCAGGCCTTCTGCGTTTTAAAAAATCTTAAAATAAAAGAGGCAGAGTGCCATATGGCCCAGCACCATTTTTTGACTTTGTATCGAGCATTTGAGCTATGCTAGACAAATTCTTGGCGAAGAATTTGAGCAGCTCTCATATTATTTGACGTATTTAGACGAACCTCGGCACCAAAGGCACGGGTCAAGGTTAAGGCGAAGCCTTTACACCGCAAGTTTACCTCCGAGGGAAGTAAGAAACTATGATGATTAACCCATGTCTAATTTAGTTGCCCATGTTTATGATGGGGGTGTCGTCCCGAGGGGATTCATGGCTCCTTTGACAAAGGACTCGCGCTTCTCCGGGAAGGGCGTCAATGGCCGCCAAAAGTACCACACGTTAAATGAGCACATATGTATATGCAAACCCAAGGAATGGGTGGGGGGAGGGAAGGGTCTTGGCATTCTCGATTCTCGTTGTATGAAAGGGGAAATGGGGTGGAGAATCCTATGGGATTGGAAGGGGGCTTTGGTCGTCCTCCCCGTACGCGTAGCCCCCACGCGCCCATAATGCCCGGAGATGCTCGTTGGGTACTGCAAAAAAACTGTTTGATGAAATGCATAAGAGAAATGCAGATGGAGGGAGATGCATTTTTTTATGAGAGGAGAGTGATCATAATGGCATGCGAGCCCATGTATATTTCGTCAATCAACCAAACTCCAGTCAAACGTTGTTAGTTTTGGTTGCCACATCATCGTTTATAGTGGGACTTATCTATCAGCTTTAGAGACAGCAAGTGTTTGTCTGAGCGATCAATGTTTTTATGAAAACTGCCAGCACAATGACGACGTTTAAACAAAAAGGTGATGGTTTTCTAAATTAGAGTCCTCAGCCGTGGTGTTTTTTTTCAATTTACTCCCCTCGTGATGTTGGTCCGGGCACAAACACTGATGCGCATGCGGGTCTCTTTTTGGGCTGTGGCGTGTGACCATCGTGAAAAACGACCCGCCGCCATGGCAACGGCCTGCACACTCCAAGGCTGTAGGGTTTGGAGAACAAAAATTGTGCCCTGTCTGTCGGGCCAGTGACACGCCTTTTGTATGCACTATTTTTTGCCTTCGAATCGACTATGCAAAACGAGGCTAAGCCACTAAGGTACAACTCAGCCTTTCTAATGACAAGTATGAAAGATTTTTTTTTGCGAGTGACATATATCAAAGTTTCAAATGGACTATTTTTAATGTTTTTATTAGTGACATTTTGTTGTTTCAAAAGAAGTTACAAAAATTCGATTTAAGTAGTCAAACAATTATTTTGGTCATTTGTAGATATTTTTCAATTATTTCCATCATATCTGGTCAAATTCAGAATATTTCAAACAGGTACCGACATTTCATTGTTTACAAAAATCCGTACTCAATCTTTTCAAATTTGTATTAAATATTACCAATTTTTGATATACTGGGTGCATGTATGCAAACTATAATTGATTATGACTAAAGTACATAAAAATTGTGTGAAATATATGTGAATAGTTCTTGAAATTGTTTGTATGACTCGACGATTGAAATATGTGTGAATTTTCATAAATGTATATAAACATTTTTAAGTATAGAATATTGATGAAAATAAAAAAAACATTTCACAAAAATGTGGCAAAGAATCCATTAAATGTCTTTTTTGAAATGCCCCCAAGAGAATTGAACAAATTTGAATGAAGCTACCAAGAAACCAACATCGAAATCTTTTTGAAACAATTGTGAAACATGCATTTTTTCCAGATATTGAAACATTGTTAGGACCCACCAAGTATATCTAATAAATTAGATGAGGAGTGCTTTTTTAGGCTACCATATTGTTGTTTTAACACAGCGCAATTGCAGATGCCCACATATATGCATATGTGCACACCCTTTTCTTATGAGTACTTCCAAAATACTAAGCCCACATCACATCTTAAGATTGACAAAGTTATTGCAGGCATCTCATAGTCGACGAAAACATCTTTTTTTACTTAACGAACATCGCTGAAAAGACTGAAATAAATCTAGAAAAATACGAGCATTAGTGCCAAGTTTAGGACTTAAAGCATGGTGAGTTGGTTCCACAAGAAACCTAACCAATTGAACTCATTTCACGACCTACTTTATTATTGCCTCTCGTGCTTGACTACGAAATAAAACAATAAAATGGTATGAAATTACCATCCCGACATCTTTGTCCTTAAATGTAATTATGAGGTTTTCAATTGGCAGCTGAAAGTCCAGTTCATCAATCTTACGATGTGATGTCGGCTCAATTTCCTAGTGAATCGCGTATGTGCATTCATATGGATGAGTTTACGTGCGTATTCTTGTTAAACATGTGCGTGGATGTAAGCATCTACGATTGTCCCGTATAGGTGCTCTTAGAGGTAGGGTCTGTGTATGTGCATTCATAGAGCGTGTATGTTTTTTTAGAAACATGTGCACATATGTGAGCAACTACAATTGCCCCGTGTTAAGAGAAAGTTCCAGCTATTGAAAATTTGCGAACCAACATGTGGTTGGATGGTTAGAGATACAGTGATATCCCTAGCCCATCGGGATTCAAGCCATGGTATTTGCACTATTCTTGGATTTATTTCAGGATTTTCGACGATGCACTTTCAGTGAGAGGGGACGTTCCCGTTGACGATGAGGCGCCTAAGGCGACTTCAAAAATTTCAAAATGATATGCGGGCCCAGTCTCTCAAAGGTGCTCATAGAGATAGGATGTGCGTGTGCGTGCTTATAGCGGTGAGTGTTTACGTGTATATATGAGCGCTTGTTTAAAAAAAGTTACCGAAAATTTAAGGAAAACTAGCGTATAGGGTGTAGGCCCATTAATAGTCGTGGGCCAAGGCCTGTTGTGCGATGCCTCCGGCCACCAACAGCCGAACCGCCCGCCGCCAGCCCGCCACCCCCGCACGCCGCCAGCGCTAGGGCCACAGCTGAGCGACGGCCGGCAGAGGGACCCCTACTCGCCGGCTCACCGCGACGCCTCCGCTCCGCACCACCAGGCCTCGCTAGCGTGCCGCCGTCGGTGCTGACCCTCCTCGTCCGCTGCCCACTCCTCGTCCGTTCCTTCCCCTCGTCTCCGCCGGCGGCGCCAGCCGACCCCGAGGCCCGACAGCAGCTCGGCAGCGACCGGCCAAGTATGTCTTTTTAGTTGACTATATCAGTTTACCGTTTTTTAGTGCAGAAGAATCCGGTTTTCAGTTATCACTGACCGTGCCTCCTTCTCCCCAGGCCGCCCAGTCCTCCTGTCCCGCCTTCCGCGCCGACAGCCACCAGCGCGCATGGTTTGCGCCGCCATCTCAGTAGCCGGCGGACCTGCCACGTCCCTCTCCCGTCGTCCAGCACTCGGCCTCCACAGCCGTCGCCTGCTCTGGGCTCGCGCGACGAGTCAATATACAATGAGCCGGGTTGCGCCGCGGCTGAGCTCCACCATGGTTGGGGCCCCCACCCCCGACCATGACGAAGCACGCGCAGGTGCGCAGGGAGGTGATGGGATTGGCTTTGATATGATTATCAGTAGGAATTTGGAATAGTCACATTGGATATTACTACTTATCAGATTCGTAGTAGCTTATTCCTCCTACCAGCGGTTTCAATGTAAAATAGGTTGTTGAACTGATGAATGAATATATATGCCAATAATCCATCACTTGATTCTCCTTCCTGCCTGCGTTTTGATATGACAGTAGACTAGTGTAAAAAACGCTCTTATATTCTGGGACGGAGGGAGTACTTGCAACCAGCCACTTGGTCTAATTCTTGAGAACGTTTTGTATTGGTTGTTTAGTTCTATCCGGAAATCATCTGTTGTTATGTGCTAATCGATTAATCTTGTTAGAACTCATGTGTTTAAGTATTCAAGTAACATGGGTCCTAAGAGCCGTATATTCTCTTCATTTAACTTTTTCTCGTGCATAACATATAGAAATGCTTGAAGCAATGAACTAATGACAAGTTCCTACATCAACAGGAGTGAAGCAAGCACTCATATCACTGTCGGATAAAACAGACTTGGCCAGTCTTGGAAACGGTCTTCAGAGCTTGGGGTAACTCTTTCGTGCTGTGGGATCCCCATGCATCACCATGGAGAATTATGTCGTACATCAATGCCTACTTCAGGCAGTGCTGATTTATCATATATGTTGTCTTTCCCAAATTATGCATTGCTCACAGTAGCCTTCTTGTTAGCAAGTTAATCTCTCCTGGCTGCATGCTTTTATAGGCTGACTGTTGGTGCGAGGGTTAGTGTTAATATTTATGAAGCTTAATATTGTACAGGAAGAAGCATTCTCCAGCTTAGATTTACCAATGCTATTTTTTTTCTCCGTTCTAGTTATGTAGGGTCTTACGGAGATTTTTTTGCGCCTGTAGGTTTTCTATCATCTCCACTGGCGGTACAGCGTCAAGCCTGGAAGCAGCTGGAGTGAATGTTACAAAAGTTGAACAGATTACACATTTTCCTGAAATGGTATAGCTTAATTTATTGTTTAGCTGCTGCTTTCTTGAAATGGTTTTATCCAGGCATGATTTACCATAGTCAATAAAGTAGTTCCTGAATCAAATTTGTTGCAAGTGCTGTAAAATTTCATTAATGAAATGTTTCTGTAGCACGCTATAGTTGATATAGTTGGCAAGTGTGATGTCCATTTGTGTAAAAGGTGCATGTGGGTCTGATATAATCATCATTCTTTATTTCCAGATCTCTTCTCTTTGAAGTCTCTTGAATCCTCACAATAATTGTTGAATAATCGACATACAACCAAATTATTTTTCTCTTGTCATCCCACTTTAGCCTACCTTCTGCTTTGCCTCTGGCTAGTCATTTAGAGGATATTGAGTATATATTTTTCTTTTCATCTCCATTTACATTTCTGTTTTGTGATTGCAGCTTGATGGAAGGGTAAAAACATTGCACCCCAGTATACATGGTGGTATTCTTGCACGAAGAGACCAGGAGCATCATCTTAAAGCATTGAATGAGCATGGCATCGGTGAGAGTCCATTTTTTTAATCTTATATTAGTTGGCCGTTCATGCCATTAAAGAAAAATCTTGTCTTACATTGTCATTTAACTAGGACATTTGTTTGGGCACAGGGACATTTGATGTGGTTGTAGTGAATTTGTATCCATTCTATGATAAGGTCACCTCTGGTGCAATTTCTTTTGAGGATGGCATTGAAAATATTGATATTGGTGGGCCTACATTGATCCGGGCTGCAGCGAAGGTAACTGTGTTTATCATTTGAAAGTACATACTTAGAGGTTGGTTGAAGTTATAAGATGTTTTGGTAGGCTAAAATAGCCTTAAAACGTCTTATAATTTGGGACGGAGGTAGTGTCTGCTTGCTGTTTATTGAAAAACTGTTTTATGTTCATTTATACTCGTGGGGTCAATGTAATAGTTCTGTACAACTGATGCACGGCTTAATATTGATATCTTTGTTAACCTGACAGAATCATAAGGATGTTCTTGTTGTTGTGGATCATCATGATTACCCTGCTCTATTGAAATATCTACAAGAAAAGCAAGCGGACCCGCAGTTCCGCAAGATGCTAGCATGGAAAGCTTTCCAGCATGTTGCTTCTTACGATTCAGCTGTCTCAGAGTGGTTGTGGAAGCAAACGAACAGTGGTATGATCATTCTTTTGGTGAATGGTCCAATACCTATCTGATAGTTTCATCTGCTATTTTTATTGTATATCACATTGTCATGGTCGTATGTATGTAGGAGATACATTTCCCCCAAGTTTTACTGTTCCCCTCTCGATGAAGTCTACACTTCGGTATGGTGAAAATCCTCATCAAAAGGCAGCATTTTACGGTGACAGGAGTCTTTCTCTAGTCAATGCCGGTGGTATTGCAACAGCAGTTCAGCACCATGGAAAGGTTAGGACATCATGCATTTATTTTCCAGTTCGTGCTCCAAGTAAGTGGCCCAAAAATTATTCAAAAATATTCAAAGATCAATCTCTTCTGAGATGGTGCCACGAATTCCATGTCTCTCAAATTTAGTATTTAGTTTGTTCGGTACACATACAACTTGTTTCTGGATATTCCTGCTCCTTGTGAACTCATGCTGTTGAAAAGTTCAGTGATGCTTCTTTAGGGGTTTTCATAACTGGCATCCTTGCTCTTTGCAGGAAATGTCCTATAACAACTACTTGGATGCTGATGCTGCATGGAATTGTGTGTCAGAGTTTGAGAACCCTACTTGTGTTGTGGTTAAGCACACCAATCCGTGTGGCGTTGCATCCCGCCAGGATGTTCTTGAGGCATATAGATTAGCTGTAAAGGCAGATCCTGTGAGTGCATTTGGGGGAATCGTTGCATTCAACACCACAATTGACGAGGTATGCACTAGACTCTGATCTTATGTTTCGCAAGCTCTAACGTTTTTGTAGTTGTGTTGCTCTGCCCATGATATGTTCCTGCATGCTCATTTGAAAATTCCCAATTAGTCGTGAATTGCGAGAGGGGCAACTAATAAATCTACCTTGTGTAGGATCTTGCAAAGGAGATCCGTGAGTTTAGAAGTCCTACAGATGGCGAGACACGGATGTTCTATGAGATCGTGGTGGCACCAGGATACACAGAGAAGGGCCTCGAGGTCCTCAAAAGGAAATCGAAGACGCTGAGGATCCTTGAGGCGAAGAGAAGTGGGAAAAACATGTTGTCGCTCAGGCAGGTCAGTGGTGGTTGGCTAGCTCAAGAGTCGGACGATCTAGCCCCAGAAGACATCACCTTCACGACAGGTTCTGAGAGAGCTCCGACAGACAGCGAGCTCTCGGATGCCAAGTTTGCCTGGCTCTGTGTGAAGCACGTGAAGAGCAATGCCATTGTGATTGCCAAGGTTAGTCTGCATTTCTCAGTGTGCCAAGGAAAAAATAGGGCTGAGTAAATTTCAGTTTGCAACACAACTGTCGCAAGCAAAAAAAATACACCTGCTGCTGTCAGTGTTTGTATTCCACAACTCACAAATCACTGACCTGCCAAGTTTGGTTCGGTGAATGGTTTTGCTAAGTGAATTGACTTGACTGATCCTCTTGTGAGTGCAGGACAATTGCATGCTGGGCATGGGAAGCGGGCAGCCAAACAGGGTGGACAGCCTGAGGATCGCCTTCAGGAAAGCAGGGGAAGCTGCCAAGGGAGCCGCTCTGGCCAGCGACGCCTTCTTCCCATTCGGTGAGAACAAAACAACCCCATTCGATTCGACCAAGTGAGATCTTACAGGCTGGTAAACTGACTTGTGTGAGTGAAACTGCAGCCTGGAAGGACGCCGTGGAGGAGGCGTGCGAGAACGGCATCGGAACGATTGCGCAGCCCGGTGGCAGCATGAGGGACAAGGACGCCGTCGACTGCTGCAACAAGTATGGCGTCTCCCTCCTCTTCACCGGCGTCCGCCACTTCAGGCACTAAGCCTAACTTTGAGTGCTGAAGGTCATCGCCGCTCTACTGTCGGTCCGTCCGCCGTGGAAACTCGCGGATATTTTTCGCAATAAGGCGGACGCAGGTGGGTTTGCGTCCAACTAGGAATAATTGTATGACAGGGGAGAAATCGTTTTGCTATGTTGTATCACATTGCTGAGCCAACAGAGAGTGGGCAATAACTAAGGTCAGAAAACCAGGGCCAACTAAGCAGAAACTGTGTTTGTATTCAGACCTCGACATGAATCAAACTTGTGAGGCCATTCTGACCTTATCAGATGCCAGCACGTGATCTCTGCTTGAAGATTTGTGATCACCAGCGACCTTCAGATGCTGGTTTGTAGAAATATGATAATTCTGTGGATGGGTAAAGGGTGTCAGATGAGGCTGCCTGAGTGTAGCTTCCGGAGAAAGAAGATTTGATCGTTTTTGTCCTTCTGGAATTCAGATGCATATGTTGAAATATAGAAGCATTCTACAGAGAGGAGCACCGCGAAGCAGAATGAGACCTCAATCTACTTGAGGTGCATTTGCAACTGTACAATGTCCTGCTTGTTGTTTGTTTACAACTTGAGCAGTGTCCACATCGCTGGTGCTGAATTTGTGCAACTTGCATGCTGACAGCCTCCCAAAGAGTTGTATCGCATGCTGTTTGTCTAGACCATTTGGCTATGTTAGCTTGTCGGACTCCGGCAGCGGGCTCGGCGGTGCGGCCACGAGCACCCAGCGCCGGCCTGGATGAGCAGGTCCTGGGCGCCATACCGGTCGCCCTGCGCCCCTGCCACCTGACCGGGGCCAGCACGGAGCTGCAGCTGCCCACCCGAGCCCCCGGCGACGCCATCGAGGAGGAGCTCCCGCCCCTGTCCATCTGCGAGCGGCGGAGGGCAATGTTGAGCGTGAACTCCTCGTCCGACGCGGACGAGCTCGAGCCCTCCCTGGCGAGCGCCGTCCAGTCAATGTCGGACTCGCTGCCGGATCCGACCATGGTGGAGGGGTGGGTAGAGGGCCGGGAGAGGAAGGGGAGGAGGCAATGGTGCCGAGAGGTCGAGAGAGTGAGGTTTCACCAAGGTTTTTTTCTTACAAAAGTTGGATATGCCTTTATTACTGTTTTTTTCCTTAATCTCTTCCCGCCTAAAAACAATTATATAATTTTATTACCAATAATCGATCACAATGGTGTTCTCACTACTATTGGAGGAACAATTGCACCCAAAGAATTTAGAATAGACGGATGAGAATTCCGAGTCCACTCCGTTTGAGATGCAACTCATACCTCTAAACAATAAACAAACAGAAGCAAACAATATATATTGTATTTCCTATTCTCTCACCAGGCAGAAATTCATGATCATTTTTCACTATCTTGGTGATGGGTAAACACTACATGGCAGTCAAATGACAAGAGAAACATCAGTTAAAATCATGGTTTCCATATGATGTTCGAGTAATCAGTTGTGCACGCTAGACACTTAGATCTAGATGAAATTTATACAAATGAACACGAAGGTGTCAATGCTGTTGTTGCCACAAAAATGACAGTATGGTACTATAAGAGTCTACCACTATTCTCTATACAGAACGCATCATACAGATGAGAGAACACATTGACATTGACTAGACGACATGAATGTCAACACAGTTCAATATAAGCTGGTTCGGTACCCACTTGTCCATCAAATGCAACAGTTGGGCCGCCGCCCAGAGTCTTGTCAGCTTCTTTAGTTTCCTATAATCCGCTGGTTTGGCTGCAATCGCACCTTCCGCGGTTTCCTCAGCTAATGGTTCAGCAGCAGCTAAATTTTCTAGCCTCCCCAACAGGCATTTCAACTGTTGACCCCTCGATTCCCTGGAGCGTGTACTCATCCCCCACAGACTGTTTTGGTACATATCGAGTAAAAGCTTGAGCTCTCAGGTCCTTAGGCATGCTAGTTTCTTCTCGAGACTCATCCGTATTATCAACTTCCATGGTATCTTCCGAGGCCTTGACAACACCATGTACACACACAAGTTTGTGTTTTAGGGTGTCATCTACAATTCCAGTTTGCATGGTATCTGAGAGAACATCAGGTGACTCTTCATTTCTGCCTCCGGCATGTAAAGCACGCTCGGTATTGCCTTCATCTTGTCCTGCAAGCTTGACCATCTCAGTGTGTTCAACTGATGGATTCCTTACAGTTTCACCTTTGTCAGCTTTGTCGACGATGTCAATTTGCGCAGAATCCAGTGCAACTCCAGACACCCTACAAGCTATAATAAGAAAACACATACAAAAGGTACTGTAAGCAACTAAGCATATTTAGCTCACTGGATTTTACTCCTTCCGTTCGGAATTACTTGTCGCAGAAATGAATGTATCTAGACGTATTTTAGTTCTAGATACATCCATTTCCGAGACAAGTAATTCCGAACGGAGGGAGTACAAATTTAAGAGAAAGAAATGTTCACCAGGAGTCTCCATGCCTTCAGGGCGTAACTTGGGATAATTCAATTCAGTCGTTCTTAGAGAAAATGGCATATTCGCAAGACGAAAACTTCGAAGTGAAGGTCCAAAAGAGCCAAAGTTGCCAGCAACACTGAAAGCCCTTTCAGCATCGACACGTTTCCTGAAGACAACTTTAGCAGTATTTGTGTTCTTGTGCACTTCAGTCTCGGTTTCTTTTAGTGGTCCATAGCGACTGAACATCCTAATAAAATCCATTTCTGAAGGAAGAGCAATTGACTTGCCAAAGCACAAAACAAGTGCAGTGGGGTTTACATCGTGGACCATCTTCTCGTCAACGTGGATAATTGATCTTTTTATCACTTCTACCTTTCTGTTAACACCCAACGTTTCAGGCTGCATATCACATACAGGGGAAGAACGATCTGATGAAGGTGCACATGTTCGTCGCGTCTGTCTCCGCCTACGTATCGGCCTTGTTTTGCCACTTGCCCCTTTGAGGCTATGAGTCGAGACAGTATGTAAACTCAGTCCAGACCAGTAGGCGTCCTGCATATGGTCCGTTGTTTCTTCCTTAGGGCAAGGCAAAAATTTCCACTCTTCACTCCTGTCCCCTTCAGTTTTTCCAATCATGCTCATTTCAGTAGAAGCTGCCATCCCAGATAATAAGTCCTTGGTGTCCACACCATGGCGCCTCTGCACACGCCTTCTTTTTGCCGGCTTCTTCACAGAGATGTCAACTTCACCACACTCTGTTTCACCAATGTTGTTATGAACTATCGGTTCATTCTGAGGCTTCACAATGGGCCTTCCCTCTGTCAACTCTATGTCATCGTCAGGCTTTCGCTTACGAGGTCTTCCCCTACCTCTTTTGGGCTTCACACTAGGCTGCACTTCATTGGTAACAGTTGTGTCGATGCTATCCTCTGCCCATGCACTGCCAGATTGAAATGATGCAATTTCACCGTATCCCTTAGACCGATAGAAAGACATAAGTTGAGAGCAAGCAATCACTAAATCCTGCAGAACACCTCCTTGGCAAGGGGACAGAGCCAGCGACTTCATATAATGAAGAAGGTGTTCTGGACTGAAATATTGCAATATCTCAGCCTGGCTAACCTTAGAGCAAGCAACTCCAGCCTTGAGCCCAGAATTCCCACGCAGATAACACATGCCATTCTCAGAGAGGTATTCTGGGAGACAAGAGCAACTCGCGGCCGTCAATATCCGCGTTGAGAGTTCTTGAAGCGCATAATTAACTGCATTGGTGAAGGCATCAGAATTGCCTTGTTTCTCCATCTCTAGACAGTTGTCCATGAAAGGCTTCAACTGGGATTCCAGACACCACGCAAAAGAGCCGTCACCAAAAAATGCTACCAGATGGTGGCCCTCTTTCTGATGCTTCAATGCCAGCTCAGATGCATCCGAAGGATCGAAAATTGCACCAGGCCACCAGGGACGACCTTGCAATTTAGCCCAGACAAGATCAGAAACTCGAAACCCATCTTTATCAAGGGGAGGAAGACGGTATCTAACACGCTGACCATCTTCGTTCGATCCTGCAAGATCACAAAAACTGATTAGTCAGTGATGACATACAAGTCGAAGGATGAAGGGCGCGGAACCAACACGCAGTAGATCAAGCTAACCAGAGTCTGGTGTCAGAGTATGCTTACCGGCTTCAGCATCGTGTGGAGGTACGGCAGGATCAGAAATCTCCGCCGTGTCGGCGGCAATATTCTGTGTCTGCGCCAGGCTACTCCCCTCCTCCTCCTCCTCCTCCTCGCCCTGCAACCCACCAGATTCCGCCATCATGGCGTCAAAATCTGCCTCGCCGAAACTCCCCTGCGCCATCGCCTCCCCGTCCGTGGCGGCATCCACCGGCGGCAGCTCGTCCCGCCCCTCCGGGTTCACCCCTCCCTCCACCCCCGAAAGCCAGATCATCGCGGCGAACCAACCGCCGGCGCCACCTACTCGAATCTGTGGAATTGGGGCGGAGATGTCAGTTGGCGCACATTAATTAAAGCCTCGAAATCCCCAATCGATCTCGCCGCCGCGGGAGGGGAGGGCGAGGTACCTCAGGCACCGGCCGGCGGGAGCGGGGGGCCGGGGGAGGGAGCGAGCGCGAGCTCCTGCGCGTCGGCCGGGCGGGCGGAGACGGAGGCTCTAGGGTTTGGCCTCCGGGTGGCTTCGGCCTCTGAGGCTGCGCGCGCGCGGGCGATTTGGGTGGTGATATCGGCGAGCTCGGGTAGGGACCGATTGGGAGGAGGAGACGGGGTGGGAAGTGGCCGAAAGGCCGGGCTATATGGGCTGGACTAACGGGCCTGCCGAGGGGTGGGCCGTGAGGTTGGTTCGTGGGCTGGTTTTGTTTAACTGGGCCGTGGGGCGTGTGCGCGTTTATCACGGCGGAGTGTGAGGCGCGGTGGGACTGAAATGTAGGGACAGGAACAGACGCCAGCCAGCCAGTGGGTCCGCGACGGCCTGACGGGGAGTGGACGTGCGTCAAGGCGGTTCGCCGTCGTTGACGAGGTTGCAGGCGGACGTGTCCGACTCCGGCGCTATCGACGGCATAGAAGGCGAGCCGGCAGAAGACAGAAGAAGGTGATCTCTTTCTCTTGTGTTGACATTTTTGTTTTGCTTGATCTGTGGCAATGTAGATTGGAATGATGCTAGCTTTGCTGCCGTAAACATCATTCGATTTCCACTTGTTCTTGATGATTTTTGCATCTTGTCATCTCATCGATAGGTGAAGAACGCAGAGGGGGCAATGGGGAAGAAGGTGAGGTGGTTCGACGCCGTGCACAGGATCCTGAGCCCGTCGGAACCTGATCGCGACGAGAAGGAAGACAAGCAGGTAACTGAAACCGTGCAATTCTCCCGTCTTCATCGAATTCCAGTCGACGCAAATGACCGATCCGCATCGATCGATGTTCTCGATCCAAGAAGCCGGCCGAGAGACCGACGAGCAAATCGAGCTTCAAGAAGCTATGGCAGTTCGGCAAGTCCAGCACGTCCACTTCTTCTTCCTCCGCGGCGCATCAGCAGCCTCCTCCGCAGCCCGATCAGCAGGATGCTGCGGAGGCCAAATCCACCGGAACGACGAGCGAGCAGAACAATGGTGGGTTCCAAGTCGCAGCGCTCGCCGCACCGGTGGCGCAGCAGCCGGCAGAGGCTACGGCCGTCGTCACGCCAAGAGCGCCCGCGCGGTCAAGGGAGGAGCTTGCCGCCGTCAGGATTCAGACGGCTTGCAGGGGCTACCTGGTAATTGCATGATCACATTTCGATCTAGCATATGTCTAACATGTTGAAAACTTGGAAACATTTTATTCACGTTCAGGTAAGGAAGGGGTACAAGGCGAGAGCACAGGCTCGGCTGATGTCGCTGCTGGAGGGGGTCGCCGTGAAGCGCCAGACGGAGGATGCGCTGTACAGCATGCAGATGATGACGAGGGTTCAGACCCAGATATACGCCAGGAGGGTCAACAAGGACAAGGCTCTCAAGAGTCAGGTCCAGCCCAAGCAAGGGCCTGACAAAACCAAGGTGCGAAGCATCATCTCATCTGCTCCGATCATCTATCGTACTAGTTCGTAACGATTCTTGTTCATATGGTACGACGATCACGACTTGCCGATCGATCGATCGATGTCTGAAAATTCTCCGGTATGCTAGCTGAACCTGACCGGTGTGCTGCTGACATTATTGAGCGCAGACTGGTGAAGTCTGGGATCACACTCACCAGTCCAAGGAGCAGATCGAGGCCACGCTCTCGACGAAGCAGGAGGCTGCGTCGAGGCGGCAGAAGGCCCTGTCATACGCCTTCTCTCACCAGGTAGCCATCGGGTCTACGTTGTGGATGGCACTGTCGCTCGACGTGTTCATGTCCTCTGCTGAACTCACTCTGTCTGGCGCAGTGGAGGAACAAGAGCCCCTCTTCTTCATCTTCCTCTGGGAGAGGGAGAGTGACACCCACGCTGTCGCACCCTCCGACGTTCATGGACCCCGGCTGCCCCAACTGGGGCTGGAGCTGGGCGGAGCGCTGTCTGGCGGCGTCCAGGCCGTGGGAGAGCCAGACCGCGCCGCCGGACGTCAAGGACCGCGCTGCTCCGGCCAAGAGCGTCGGCCGGGCCGCCAGCCCGAGGGTGTCCATCTCGGTTCATATTCCCACCACGCCGACGGGCAGGTCCGCTCGGCCGGCCGGCCGGTCGTCGCCGTCGACCCCGACGCAGCCGCGGTCACCCTCGGTGCCGGGAAAGACGATCGCGTCGCCCCGGCGGGCTCCGAGCCCGAGGGGTAGCCCGTTCAACAAGTCGGGAAGCACGCTATCGGAACGCCCGCGGAGCAGCCAGGAGCACGTGGGGGCAAGCAGTGGCGGCGGTGGCGACGAGAAGGAGGCCTCGCTGCGGCGGACGACGAGCTTGCGGTCGGGGGAGCAGCCGAGGAAGCTGAGCCTGGGAACGAGAGAGGTGGACGCAGGCGAGACGGGCGACGCGCCGGTGACGCCCAGCTACATGCAGGCGACCAAGTCCGTGAAGGCCAAGGCCCGGTGCGCGAGCCCCGCGGCGGCTGACAAGGCCGAGCTCCCCGAAAGGGCGCCTCTCGTGTCCTCGCCGTCGATGAAGAGGCGCCCGTCGCCGGAGTTCCCGGAGAAACAAGGGGTGTCGTCGCCGAGGACGCCAAGGACGCCGAGCACGCTGGGCAAGGCAAAGCCGGAGATCAGGACGAAGCGGCCTCCCAGCCCCAGGCTCTAGCTCGCTGGGCTTGCGTATATCCACAGTGGCAGCACGATAACTGTATGAGGTTTTCTTATTTTTGTTGCCTAGTTTCGAATTTGTAATCTAGCATTTTTGGTCATTTTTGTTTTTGAATTTGTAAATTAGCGCGGTACAAATTTATCTTCTTGAGTTGGCTAACGCTGGTCTAAAGACTCTTTCCACCTTTGTGAATGTATTATTTAAAATGCATGATTTTTTAGATGATGATTTTAAATGCAAGCTCGTGAGTGGATTTTGTACCAAACGTGCATGGATCCGCTGTCCGCATTAGACGTTGGTGCCGAGTTTTCTTGATTAATCGAAGCATATTATTATACTACTACTATATTTCGCCATATTTTCTCTCAATGGATAGTTATTGTAATGTTTCATTGTACCAACAAAAGTGCAACGTTGAAACATGTTTTGAGGTGGCATGAACCTATAGATTACACACTCGACAGGTTGAAACATGTTTTGGATTTGGATGTGAATCTTTACTAGGCATCATATCCTAACGGGCCTACATAGTACTAAAGTTCCGTCAGTTAATTTGAATCGGAGAGAGTACAATAATTAGGGTTTTTGGACACAATAAACACTACTCTTAAGACTTTACACATAAAAAAACACACTATCAAATTTAGCAGTTGAGTGTGCAAAACCTCATGCGTGTGATCTTGAGTAACGAGAAGGTAGCACGACTACAACTCCAACGTGCCACGTCGACTAAGTAATTACCAAATTTTACCGAGACCCATTTGTTTAGGGTTTAGGGCTTAAGGTTTCATATTTGGAGTTTAGGGTTCATGATTTATGTTTCAGGGTTTAAGTTTTAGTATTTGAAACTTGTTATCACTCGTTTGATCATGTTTTAATAGTTGAAACTTGTTATCACTCGTTTGATCATTTGTTCGGTGGGATGTACAAGTGATTGACAATTTAGGGTTTGAGTTTTGGTAGGATGAGCACGATCTTGAGTATTGTGGCATTGAGAAGGGGGTTCTTTGTATTCATCTGATTGCCCCAGTTCGTCGTGTTTGCACCGATGTAGAGGACGCTTGTAGGCGGTTCTTAGGTTGTGCGTACGAGGTAAGTGTTGTCGCAGTCAGTTTCAGAATTAGATTAGTTGGCTTTGTTATATGTTTCAGAATTTGGTTACATGTAAAAATGTGTGCGTATGAATTTTGCAGGGCCCTCTTGCTTGCGACTATGTTAAGTGGGTTGACAAAAGGTGGGAAGACAGGGCAAAGACAGTGATTATGGATCTGTCTTCGAAGAACATAAACCCGGAGAGCAGAATTAAAGCTTGTGAGAGAGAAATGGAAAAGAACAAGCTTGAAAAGAGGGCAAATGGAAGGATCCACAAGGAAAGGCTGTTGTTTAGAGATAGGATCATAACATTTGGTGGTCTTTTGTATCTTGGCATGTTTGCCATTATGTTTGCTGTTATTGTTAGCAAGTAGAAGTGGTGGATTACTAGTGATGTTAAGACAACTCCGTAGTATTTCTTCACTTTTGTTTTTAGTAGTTGATGTTGGCATTGCTGTCATTTTGAAAAGATCTGGGATTTTGCAGTGCAATAAAGTTCAGACATTGTTCATCACAACATAGTTCTTGACTACAAACATGGATACATTGTTACGAACATGGACTAAAATTTGATACAAAGATGCTAAACTGACGGAGCACGAACTGAAACCTGACAGAATAGTAGTGAACAAGCTAAACTGAAAATAGAATGCATGGGTAGATAATATCGAAATGCAGGTGCTTCTTCTACTCATCGTCGTCGGATGAGAGGACAATTGGGTTCTTGTTGTTGCCCTGTTGAGCGGCAGACGTCGATGCACCGGCATATGCTGCTCTTGCTCGCTCCCTGGCTGCGCGCTCTGCTTCTGTAGCCCGATGGCGGACGGCATCTACCTGCGCCATGGACCAGGACGCAGCTATGACGGCATCACCGAGCTGCTGCTTGGGTGCGCTCAGAGCCTCATTGGCCTGCGTGGTGAGCAAGGATGCCTCATACGCCGGAGATGGTAGCCCGAAGACCACTTGGTCGGGTGGCAGGTATTCGTCGCGACCAGCCTCCCTCCGCTAGGCGCGCAGTCTCGCTTGCACCTCCTCAAACTCCGCCTCCTCCCGTGCATCCTCCTCCTCGTGCTCCGGATGGACAGCAGAGAGCTCTGAAG